TCATCAATAGACCCGGACAGGGTACTGCAATGACAGCTTTTAACGTGCTACTAGCATTGCTGTTTCCCGGCGCCGGGGTTTCTAGAGGTCTTGAAACGATTTTAACGAAGGCCGTTTTCGCGCCAACCGCGTTGCAGATGGCTGCCAGAGCTGGGGCGCTATGCATGGTAGTAGAGCATGATACAAGTACAGAGGCGCCTACAATACCTGCAGGTCCTACGACACAGGAGCCTGTTACTGCTTCAGCTGAATCGGTCCGTAGAGGAGACATTGAAATGCAAGAGTCACCCCTCAGGCAAGTTCCGGAAGAGGGGGCCACTGGACAAGAACAAGCGACAAGAGAGCTACAGCCTAAGCAAGGTACTATCTACAAGATATTCATAATTCGCATATGATCTATACTGACATCTTGAGAAGAGGGATTTGATCTTTTAGGAACCCGAATCCATGGTGCCTGCAAGCTTCCAGTCGGTTATTCATTAATGATCATCCCAAAAGATTCGGAGTTCGAAAACGACAGCCCTGGAAGAACAGAGTCATGGGTCCGCCGCATGTTCCAACGCCGTCAGAGCGAGCGAATCACCATAGCCAATAGTTACAATCTTATCAAAATCCTTATATCTATTGGGCAGCTTGTATTCGCCATTAGCACGCTATATAGGACTCGAGGTGATCAAATTGCCCTCTTTGGCTATGCTGCGTTCGGTTTGACAGTTACCCCATACGCGGTCATGTCTCTTGTCAACCTGCTCGGATGTTTGCTCTGCCCGCAGTACTCCACTGTGTTTCTAGTCGAAAATGTAGCGTTAGACACGCTGCTAGATAAGATTCGCTCGCAGCAGAAGACGGCACAATTTCCTGTCATTAGTACGGTGGGTAGGCTCACTGAGAAAAGTGAAGCCAAGGCTTTGAGTCTCTTATCCTCTAAAGTAGGGGACTCGCATCGTTCTCCGCCGTTCAGATCGTTTCAACCTATTCCTGGAGAGGAGCAGAGAGTCGCTGGTATGGTTGGCGCGTCCTTTGTCGTGCTGGCCGTACCTCTATCAATAATTGGAGGGCTGAGCCACTTCTCAGAAGGTGAGAGTAAAGGCTATCAGAGAGGACTGACAATGACCTGGCTAGTTTTTGGATTCTTCGCTGGGGCAACCTTGGCAATGATGGTCGAAAATATGGTAGAGCCTCGCCCTCTCATAGAACGTACCACGCCATTTGGATTGCCGCGGGGTTCTCCATATTCGCTGAGAACCCTGTCGGTATCCTTTTTCCTTTATATAGCGATGTTTGCTGGACCGGCAATAGGCGGGTTTACTGTTGTTGGCAAAATGATGTTGCAATATGGCTCCTGCTTCCGGCTTTAGGAATCGCAGATGTCGATTGCTTTCTGAAGTTGTAGACCGCCACCATCAGTCAGCAGTCAATATAATATGATGATTTGACTAGAATTGGCGGTAATGATCAATGAATGAACACCATGAAGTCATTGTGTAGCTATATCTCTGAATAGACGGAGCAACAGTAGGAGACAGGTTGAATGATTGTGCTACATCCCGAAACGTTCCCATTTGTTTACAACTTTCGATCATTTATCCAGTTTTTTGTAATTTCGCTCAATCGAAAGTCGGTTGATTAATGCAGTCACCTCCATAGATTTTTATCAGGACCACCACCTCTCCCAAGTAACTGACGGTGCTTTTAGGTCGACAATCGAGTGCATCGACTAAGTATACGGGTTTTCTAATGCACCAGAAGAAGTCGAATCGTCTCCGGTCTTCGGTGGATGGGGGTTATTGTCCAACAAACATGCCGAGACACCCGGGAATCTCTTAGACACGTTGTGTGGCCGGCTTAGCAAGATTATGAGCTTCGCAGTGGGAGAACGAGATCTGGTCATGCTGCAGCACACATTCGTCATTGATTGGCAAGATGGCAAGAGTGAGACAGCCACTTCAACCTTGGAGCTTTTGGGTGACGCCAATGGCTACTCAGCTATGTCGAAGGCTGTAGGTGCTACTTGTGGCATCGCAACTCAGCTCCTTCTTGATGGACATCTTGCTTTGAACAAGCCTGGCCTCTTGGCTCCGTATATACCGGAGATATGTGACCCTATCAGGGAATTGTTGAAGCTAGAAGGTATCGAGATGGTGGAGAGGGTTGTCTGAGTTGAATCTATGTAGCAGGGCGAGTAGACGCGTCAATGGAAACAACGTTTCAAACCTGACAAACGGAAGATAGACTTTAGCATCTTGGATCACTTCTCCAAATGTGAATCTTTAGCCAAATAGGACGAAACTCGTGTTTGCTTATGACACTCTGATGTGGCGAGTTTGTTTGGGTAGAGAACGCCCAAAATACAGCCTAAATCATTATTTGCTGGTTCCCTTAACACAGAATCGAACGAATTTGGCACTTTGTCACAGGACAATATGCTACGCAAATCCTTGGAGTAATAGTCCCAGCTCAACACCTGAATACCTGCCCTCAACGCCAAGACCAGACTTGACCAGACTTGACATATCCCAATCTCATCGAAGGGTGTTTCGATGTTTTCTCCCCGCTTTGAGTCTCAACACAGCCTCAATAACCCGAAAATTGATAATGTCTCTTATGTTCCCACAGTCAAGGAAGCCTTTTGCAAAGCCTCAATCCACGTCAATCGCACATGACAGGATGGAATGAGTGACCCAGAATCGCAGGATTCAAATCGGACCGGTTTCCACGGTTCGTCGTTCAAGACTGAGTAGAGGTTGAATGGTGAACCCCCCCTTTCTCCTGTAATCTCCTATTTTGAGGCTGTGCAAGCCGATCTCAGGGTACGAAGGCGACCAGATGCAGAACCCAATGGAAGCAAACATCCGGGAATGTGGTAGCCTTCAGATTTGCTCCAGTCTGGACTATGAATATCACTATCACCGAATTATCAATGGTCATGTATACTTCGCGGATTTGAGGAATCAGTGGTGGTTGTTCTTTTGGTGATGTGGAGAAATAGGGGGATGCACCAATATCATAATAGGTAAGCTATGCTTCTGCTACGCGCGTCCACCAGAAATCCTTCCAAGGGCACATAGCAGTTATATTCGTGTTTCTGAACAGTCTACAACTATTCCACCTTTGGTTCATAGGCTAAGCCATCAACACAGGCTTCAATCTTGGAATGGTATACTCCATTGTAGGTAAGGCTCTGGCCAGCCAGTGAGTAGTCCGTTTACAAAGATGTGATCTATCCCTGCGTGTATCATTGTTTCCACACAGTATAGCAGCAGAGACGCACCCGGGTTATTCCCAATAAGGTTTTGGAACGTTGGGGCTAACGGAGAACGTCTCCGTTGTGGTTCACAGGAATGAATGCCGGCAGGACTTTGAAGAGTCTTTGCAGTGATCGCCGTTGCTCATCAAAACGGGTAGCCTACATGCCTGATTGGGAGTGTTTCATGGAGAGAGAAGTGATGATTGGATGGACGTCCTGACAGCGACGGGTCCGGAGATTGGACCGAGAGCCGTGTCTTCTCCGCAGGGTGGCAGTGCCAAACATGGAATTAGGTAAGGCAAGTCAATTCATGGTCAGGGTTATACTGTAGCATGAATTCCCCGCAATCGGCCGAGATGCAGGGACTTCCCTTCAGTCACAAAATGGCGTTTCTGAGCCAGGCCTTGAGTCGGCAGGGTACGGTAGGCTATGTAATGTGTTATTATCAATAATAGGTGACGTTGACAGCAACATCCACAAATTGTAGTGTAGTGTTAATTGAAGGATACGCATACGGACGGCAAACAAGCAGATCTGATCTCGGGATGGAACAGGCAGCAAAATAAAGATTCAGACTACCGGTACCAATGTAAGGTACGGGACAGACGGCGACTAATAAGTACACATCTGAAGGCGGTATCTGAATTGCGTGAGCGAGTGCGGGAGGTACTTTTGTGTGTCAGCACTCAGCACTCAGCAATCAGCAGGCACTCTGCGCAATACGAGATTTCTTCGAGAACAGCGCAGGGTTCGTGGGCCGGTGCCAATCACAGCGACTCGCCTAAACCGCACAGCGTGATAGTTCACATAGTTCACATAGTCCACGATGTCCCCCCCCCTGGCTCGTATTACACCATCTCACCATTTTCTGGGGGTGAGAAGGGCAGAGTTTTTGGCCGGGCGGTTCAATTAGGCGTGTGCCGAGCCCACCGAGCCCAATCCTTAAGGGAAACTAAGCTCACTTGGCTAGCTTAGCACTGCCACTAATCCTACCCCAATATGCGAACTTGTCGCTCTCTCTGCTGCATAGTACCGTACCTCCGTACCTACCACATGCAGAGAAGACGAGCGAGGCCAGACCAGACCACGCCAGACCAAGACGGACGGACGGACCCTGACACTCAGTGACACTCAGTGACACTCACAGGAGCCAGGATCCGTCGCCCTGTCAGAATGGGCTCCAGTGGGCTCCCATTGTGTGTTTGCGGGGCTGAACTGGAAGATTGATGGAGGGATGCAAATCTGAAGAAGAACCCCCGACGGCTGACAGAGAGACACAGACACACACACACTGACAGTTGCCTGATGTCACTCAGCTCAATTGAATCTCACTTCCACTTTCACCTAATTTCAACTCAGTCAACAGCCGCCTACTTGCTTCTTCTTCGTTGGTTGCTTGCTGCTGCGCCTTCTCCCGTAACAAGACCCTGGTCTGGCCGACTCTGACACCTGATCATCCATCACCGCCCCGTACTGTACGGTAAGGTATAGTACTGTACGGGACCTCCTTCGGGGGTTGGATGAGCGCTTCCTCTCCCAGTCTCTCTTCGTATTGACTTGACAATCTAATCTCCTTGACGTCGACCGGCGCAAGAGCCATTCCATCCGTCTTTGTCACCCGGCTAGTCCCAATACAAGCCCTCAGCTGCGAGCGAAGAGTTATAACCAACCGCCGCCGACCTGCATTACTCTCTCTCGCGCTCACATGCTCTTCGGCAGCAACACCATCTTCACCACAGCATGTAATCGCAAGATGAAGGCGTCACTCGTTCTATCCGCGCTGGCTGGCGCTGTCTCAGCAGCTACCCCAGGCCCTCTCGATGTCGACCTCGACTCACCTGGTAAGATAAGACTCAATGATACACCGCAGGATAAGCCGGGCCGAGCCAAGCCAAGCCAACATAGCATGGGTGTGGTTTGCGCCGCAAAGCTTGTACGGAGGAGAGTAGATCTGTGAAGAACCCTGATACTGACCGACCATTCTCTCTGCCCAGCATCCATCAAGGCCGCCTGCAAAACCATCGCCGCCGCCCTGATGGAATACTATCACGGCGACGAGTACGGCCGCACCCCCGGCATTCTCGACGGGCCTCCGCCGGCGGGAGATTATTACTGGTGGGAAGGAGGCGCCCTCTGGGGCACGATGGTCGACTACTGGCACTACACCGGCGACACGACCTACAACGATGTCGCCGAGTCGTCGCTCATCTTCCAGGCCGGCGCGCCGCAGAACTCGTACATGCCGCCCAACTGGACGGCCTCGCTCGGCAACGACGACCAGGGCTTCTGGGGCATGAGCGCCATGCTCGCCGCCGAGGTCAAGTTCCAGAACCCGCCCTCGGACCAGCCGCAGTGGCTGGCCCTGGCGCAGGCCGTCTTCAACACGCAGGCCGCGCCGGACCGGCACGACGACACGTGCGGCGGCGGGCTGCGCTGGCAGATCCCGTGGTCGAACAACGGCTACGACTACAAGAACAGCATCGCCAACGGCATCTTCTTCAACATGGGCGCCCGCCTCGCCCGCTACACCGACAACGACACGTACGCCAAGATCGCCGAGGACACCTGGAACTGGGAGGTCGGCGTCGGCCTCATGAGCGACAAGTACGACGTCTACGACGGCGCCCACGTCCCGCTCAACTGCACGGACGTGTTCAAGGCGCAGTTCTCGTACAATGCCGCCGTGTGGCTGCAGGGTGCGGCTTTCATGTACGATTATGTGAGTCTCGACCCCCCTTTTCTTCATGAGTTTTCGTGATCTGTACGACAGAGCCCAAAAGGCTGACCATCCGGCTACCTAGACCAACGGCTCCGCCAAGTGGGAGGCGCACGTCGCGGGGCTCGTGAACCGCACCATCAGCGTCTTCTTCAGCAAGGGCGCCGCCGTCGAGGTGTCGTGCGAGCTGGAGGACAAGATCGGGTGCAAGACGGACATGCTGTCGTTCAAGGGCTACCTGCACCGGTGGATGGTGACGGCGGGCCAGCTGGCGCCCTTCCTCAAGACCCAGATCATGACCACGCTCAAGGCGTCCGCCCGCGGCGCCGCCGACTCGTGCCTGAGCAACGGCACCTGCGGCTTCCGCTGGACGACCGGCTCGTACGACGGCGTCGTCGGCGCCGGCCAGCAGATGAACGCCCTCGCCGCCCTCAGCAGCCTGCTGGTCGACGAGTCGGGCGTCACCGGGCCCCTGACCAACACCACCGGCGGCACCAGCGTGGGCGACCCGAACGCCGGCCAGGACCCCCCGAGCTTGCAGCCTGCGGGGCCCGCGACGACGGGTGCCAAGGCCGGCGCCGGTATCCTGACGGCGTTTGTCCTGTCGCTCATGATGGTGATCATGTTCTGGATGAGCATGAACTGGAACGAGCGGCCGGGCAAGGGCGAGAGGATCTTGTCCGAGAAGGGAAAGGGGGTGGAATATAGGTGATTTGCACCCCCGACATTCATACATGGGAGTCTTTATGTGTATAGCATCATGTGAAATTTGCGGCGTTCTCGTTATATAACCATGGCATGGTCGGAGTTTGGGTCATCATCTGGAGATGGGAGGAATCCGTCTGTTCCAAAAAAATCTTCTGAGTTGTTTCAATACTCGATAGCATCTGCTGTTGGCCCATCTGAGGCGGTGAGAGGCACTTCAGGTATCACTTACGGGTTATTCATTGCCCACGGCTGAATATGATATATCTCTTTCAATGTTGTCAATGTGGCCTGGGCGGCAATCTTCCAAATATGAGCTCCTTTTGTTGTACGATATGAACCCACCTGTAGCATGAAGAGTGCCCCAAATCGTTCGGGGGAATTCAGTTGGGGATCCTCGAACGTCAGTCAAAGCGCAGGGATAGCTGGACTCGTCAAGTTGCCGAAAGAACAAGGTGTTTTTGAATTATTCGCTTCATGCAGTTTGTTCATATAGCCACGTAACACGTACTCCTCCCAACCCAACCCATTTTGCACCATTATTGCCGCCCTCAAGTATTCTGGTTTTCCTTCTCTACCACTTGGCATCCTTGGATGCCAGGAAGCCCTTCAGGATGCCGACGATCTTGTCCAGCGCGGCGAGGTAGGTCCGCAGCTGGCTGAGCACCTTCTGCAGGTCCGAGCCGAGCTTGGCGTAGAAGTCCTTGCGGTACGGGCAGGCGCTCATGGCGGCGCTGAAGATGGGCTTCACCAGGAAGCTGTGGTGGGGCTTGAGGGTGTTGCCGTAGGCGCCGCGGAAGGACTCGGACAGCTCCTCGGTCTCTTTGGCGACGTTGGCGCTCAGGGCGGCGCAGGTGAACTCGAGGCCGCTGGGATTTCGAGGCTTGTCAGAACAGGCTCTCTGTGTGGGGAGCTGGGGCAGCATCGTGATGTATGCATAGGGGGCTGCGTTCGCTCCTTACCGTGTAAGCCATAGCAGGCCCTCTGTGGCAACATGCTTCTTCGTCTTGAGCTCGTTCTTGACGAGCTCTTGGATGGTCTCGGACTCGGCGGGGGCAGCTAGTTGACGGTCGCGGAGTTTCTGTTTGTGCACGATTGTTGCTGTCAGTGATGCTGACTATGGCCAAGTGACAAGGAAGCTGGGGGGGGACTAAGGGGTATATACCTTGATGTTGCCCATCATGTCATTCTTGACGGGAGAGAAAGCCACAGAGCCCAATGCATCTAGCAATTATCAGATCGACTGCGAGAATCGAATATCACATTGGGTTGTGGGAGGACACGTACCGAAGATGGTGGTCAGGGACTCGGCGGCATCGAGGAACTCGGAGGTGCCAATGGCGTTCTCCTTGTCGGCATTGATGGGGACGTCGGTGAAGGACTGCTTGAAGGTGTCGAGGAGAGTGCCTCCGGGGGGGATAGCAACGGCCGCCATGATTATCACGTTCGATATAGCTGGAGATGATGCTCAATTGCAGGGGGAAAGGGAGAGGAGCGGTCAAAGTGAGGGAAGTGGGGGGAGATCGAGAGAGCTCGAAGTACGAGGTACGTAGGCGTGTGTCTCTACTCCTCCCTTGTCCCCTGAAGAGAAGTAACAGAGAGGGGTTCCACAATGAGGGGCTGGCTGGCTCGAGCTCGTCCTCATGGGCAAGCATTGCACGTGACTGCGATACATCGAGAATAACGGTAGAACAGAACAATGCTCATTTCACGAGGTTATGTAGTAGGACATGCGAGTATGGGCTCTCGTTATGATTGGAGGCATCACAACTTTTCTTGGTGTTGTCTACTCTGCAGAGGTGGTATGGTAGTGGGCAAATAGATCTGATCCACGCCCCTGGCTGATAAGGCGTCGGCGATCTTGAGGCCAGCAGCAGCTCTCGATTAAAGATAGACTTTGTTCTAAATCGGACATAGCTAGAAGGACTTGAATTAGCTTCGATTTTCTGATAACTGCTCGGGACATTATGGTGCTCTGTGGCTATGGTCAAGATGAAGTTTGGCGGCAGTTGCATCACCTCTCTTGATGCAGGTGATGGCTGTTGATGGCTGTGGACGCCCCGCACTCACCACGATCATGAGAAGTAAACGGTGGGCTGAAGTGCCCGTCTGTCTTACGTATCTAGGTAGGTATGCTCACTCCCCCAGCCTTATGGCACGATAACGGTTTGTCAGGCAACAGACGCAAACCAAACCAGACACTCGGGATTCGGCACGCTATCACTTTCTGGAAGCGGACTCAGAAGTCTTGGAAAGGCCCATGAGACAAAAGAAATGACGATGCCAAGGGCGACTTATGTATTACAATGGAAATAAAACTAAAAAGCAGGGAATATGTGCCTGAGTCGCGGCTACGCGGCTGGCAACGGTAGCAGGCTGGAATACAGACCGAACGGGCCGCATGTACTGCCATAGTAGTGTGTGTTTCGGTGTGGCCGTTTCACTGACGCCGTTTTTGTGGCTCTTCAGCGCGCGCCCGTCCTTCAGACTCCAGATTTCAGCAGGCACGGGCAAAAGCAGCGGCGGGGTTCTTCTCTCAGCTTACTCGGCCGACCATTACGTCACAGCGTCCCACGTCCAGAAATAACACCATCGCATCGATTGATTGATTGCTGTGGTCTGTGAAAGTCAATTCTGAATATCGTCTTTTGTCTCTCTCTCTCTCTCTCTCTGGCCCTTGAATTGAAACCGTTAACAGTCTTGGTCGCTTCTCATCTGCTGTACTACACTTCTGCGGCTTTGCTGTAGATCTTGCTTGGATGCATCGATCAAATCGACAGCGAGTGACGGCGTGACGAGTCACTATCTTGAGTTATCGCCGTGCATCCTGCCCACCCCTACATTACATTACATTACCCAGGTACCTTGGTCTTGGCTGGCAGACAAGAGGCCATTCCCGTCTGGCCTTGGCCTGAACCCTGCAAATCCTCCCCCGCCGAATCTGCAGCCTGCCGTGCCCTGCCCTGCCCTGTCTGTGGGCGGGTTACAGTAGTCGAGACTGCATGGGAGCTACCTTGCCTACCACCTACCTTAGGTATCCTCACGTACCATCCCACTCGGCACTGAGGTGCATCACACATGACGACGGGCGTTGAAATCACACTACTTACTTACCTACACACTCTTCCCTGCTCTGCCTTGGTTCCTCCCCATCCGTCATATATCCAACAAGAAATCTAGGCTCGACCTTGATTGATCGTCCTTCGTCTGGTGTCTGGCCCCTTTACTCTACTACATTCCGCCTGTCGTTTTCTCTCTTCAATAACCCCCAACTGTGTAGCATTCGCTTCATTTTATTGCTCGTCTATGAACTCGAGTGCCTACGGAGTTTCATCGTTGTGAGTAGCCACCATGTCGAAGCCGGATACAGAGGTTGGCAAACATGGCCACCACAGCCTCGGCCACAAGCTCGCGCACCCCTTCCATGAGATGAAAGAGAAGTTTGAGGATGCCCTGGAGGAAACCCATCTGAAAGACCTCAAGGTCTCACTCATTCACAAGAAGTGCGTACCAGCCTGCTTCGTTGTAGACAAGATCCCGCCATAGCTGACACAATTGCAGGCATAAAATTGGCAAGTTTGCGAACTTGGTAGGTGGCCCTGAATCCCATGGTATAGACAATGGGCGCAGACTAACATCTACTGACCTAGTTCAACCCACAACATCGTCACGATGAGGAGCACGAGAAGGCTTGTGACGATAAGCGGACCAAGATTGGCGAGGAGCACCGCTTCCAGTCATACTTCCCTGAGCGCGACGGAAACATGATCAAATGGTACGTGGATGGCCTCGACTACTTCTGGGCCGTATCAGAAGCCCTTGATCGTGCCAAGGAGACAATCTATATCGCCGACTGGTGGCTGTCTCCTGAGCTGTTCTTGCGCAGACCACCTTACTACAACCAGGAGTGGCGACTGGACCAGGTCTTGAAGCGACGTGCAGAGGCCGGCGTCAAGATCTTTGTCATCGTCTACCGCGAGGTGGAGGCTGCTCTCACATGCAACTCGGAGCATACCAAGCACGCGCTCCAGGCTCTGTGCCCGGAAGGCTCCCCTGGCTATGGCAACATCAAGGTCATGCGCCACCCCGATCATAACGTGCTCGAGAACGCCGCAGACATGACATTCTACTGGGCCCATCACGAGAAGTTTATTGTCATTGACTACGAGATGGCATTCATTGGCGGCCTGGATCTGTGCTTTGGTCGGTGGGATGCCCACCAGCATCCATTGGCTGATCTCCACCCAGAGGGCATCAACAACGAGATCTGGCCTGGCCAGGACTTCAACAACAACCGTGTGATGGACTTCAAGGATGTCCAGGACTGGAAGAGCAACGAGCTCAGCAAAGTAGACTACGGCCGTATGCCCTGGCACGACGTCGCCATGGGTGTCATTGGTCCATGCGTGTACGATATCGCCGAGCACTTCGTCTTGAGGTGGAACTTTGTCAAGCGCGACAAATACAAGCGTGACGAGCGATTTGACTGGATGGAGCTCCGTGGCCGAGAGGGTGATAACGAGGATCTCGTTGGCGTGCAGCGGCCGAAACACCCTGTGGGCGACTATGTCCTCCATCCTCTGTCGCCGATGGAGACCAAGAATCTTGACAATCGAGGAACACTGCACGCTCAGATAGTTCGCTCGAGCGCAGATTGGTCGAGCGGAATCCTTACCGAGCACTCTATCCAGAACGCTTATTCCGAGATCATCAGGAAGGCCGAGCATTTTGTCTATATTGAAAATCAGTTCTTCATTACAGCCACAGGCGACCAGCAACTGCCCATCCGCAACACCATCGGCCGCGCCATCGTCGAAGCCTGTGTGCGTGCGGGCAAGGAGGGCCGCAAGTTCCGTGTCATTATCGTCATCCCCGCCGTTCCCGGATTCGCCGGTGACCTGCGCGACGATGCGGCGATAGGCACTCGGGCTATTATGGACTATCAGTACAAGTCGATCTGTCGCGGCGAGCACTCCATCTTCGGGCAGATTCGTGCGGAGGGCGTCGACCCTACGAACCACATCTTTTTCTTCAACCTTCGCAGCTACGACAGACTGAACAAGACCCCTGCGGTCGTGAAGCAGGAGCAGGAGTCTGGTATCAAGTATCAGGAGGTCCAACGCGCCGAAGCCGAGGAGATCATGGGCTCTGGCATCCATGGAACTACAGATGCTGAGGGTGGACGGGATAAGCATATGGGGCAGAAGCTCGGGGACTCCGACCAGAAGAAGTCTCAGATCGACAAGGAGAATGCTGAGGAGGAGCACAAGTCAGATGCGGCAGAGGAACAGACTGACAAGAAGAGAAAGTTCGAAGCAGCGAAGCAGGAGGGTCAGGCGGAGACCAAATCGGATGCCAGTGTCGCTCAACATGCGATCGCGGGTACAGGCCCCGTGACGGATCTGCATTGGGACGGCGATCCCAAGGATGAGGTTGAAAATTGGATTCAAGAGGAGCTCTACATCCATGCCAAGCTGCTCATTGCGGACGACCGCATCGTCGTCTGCGGGTCAAGCAACCTCAACGATCGCAGCCAGCTCGGCTACCACGACAGCGAGCTCAGCATTGTTATGGAGGACACAAAGAAGATCCAGAGCACGATGGATGGCAAGCCGTACGAAGCTGGATGGCACGCGGCCACTCTGCGGAGGTATCTATGGCGTGAGCATCTTGGACTGTTGCCGGCGCAAGATCTGGATGCAAGCAACAGCGTTAATGCGAAGCCGCCTGGGGATGACACTCCCAACGACCCATGGGACAAAGACGATAGCTGGAACTTCGTCGAGGACCCCATGAGCGACCAGGTCTGGGACACATGGACGGGACAGGCGTCCAAGAATACTGAGGTATTCAGACATTTGTTCCACGCCGATCCGGATGATCATGGTGAGTAATTTCTTTACCAGTCTTTATCAAGGCTACGCACTGCTAAGTTGATGATAGTCAAAACATTCGAAGACTACGACAGGTTCCTGCCGTCAAAGGGCGTGAAGTCGGGACACATCTTTGACCGCATGATGCCGCCGGAGGACGTGCGGGCCAAGCTCGATCAGATCAAGGGCCACCTGGTGTGGATGCCACTGGACTTTTTGAAGGAGGCGAACATGGCGGAGACGGGACTGCAGGTCAACCAGTTCACCGAGAGCGTGTATACTTGATTTGGTGCTTCGGGAAGGCGCTTTGCCATTGAACAAAAATGTATTGAATTTAATAGCATAATACGTTGTCTTCATGTTACATGACACATAATCAGTGTTGACCACAGCGCCGCCATGCAAGACTAGTCGAACTTCCGGCTCAAGGCGTCGTCAGCATTCAAGATGGCAGAGAAGAAGGGGCGCAGCTAATCAGCCCTCGGAGCTGTGCTCTCTTGTTCCTCGATTATGAAGGAGGCAGCTTCTGCGTGTCATTTTCTGGGCTTGCCCTGATCTCAAGGACATAACTCTGGTCGGATCGGGGTGTGATGGTGGCTGTTACGAGAAAAGCCCTGCCATTGACAGAAACTCGAGTCTTGTCCGAAAGAGTCGCGATAATTGGGAACTCCCTTGCAAGATCACTCCATTCTAGAAAGTCCATTCCACCCGTATGGCGATATAATTGCTGCGCCAGGGCTTTGCAGTCATGGAAATTGACGATGACTGGATTGCGAACTTCTATCTTACTGTGAAACATGAACCATAAATGAACGACCACGTCGTCTATTGTCAATTTGGCAATCCCGGAGTAAACAATGCTAAAGCTCTGAGAGCCGAAGAAACAGCCATCGTGGGGATCCCATAGGGTCACCGGGCTGCAACTATACAAGTAGTAAGGAAGTTGCGCAGCGACATAGATGGCTCTGAAACGGAACTGCCTAAGCAGTTGTCTGTAATACGCCGGCGGCTTCGAAGGCTTGACGTCAACATAGAATGTACTCCCTTTGGTGACATCGTAGAAAACCCCCTTGGCCTGGATATCCAGCGTCGACACTGCGGGACGGACCAACACATTTGCGCCAGCAACGCGCAAAGGTACAGCAACCAAACTTGCGCCACCGTCAGGACTTGCTCCCTCTTTACTTCCGACAAGCAGGTAATAATCGACTAGGCCCAGGTGTTGCAGCAGTAGAAGAGGTGCATCTAGTCGGAGGCCCTTGTTTGTAATGGTGAAATCAGGATTCTGAAAGGACTTAGAAAGTGAATATATATTCTTGCTTCCCACAAATGCGGCCGGCGACGGAGCAAATGCACTGCAAAATTCGGCCCCGGGACTTTTCGAATCCCATGCAAAGATAGACAGGTCGTTGCTGTGTCGTACAATCTCTTCTTGTAATCGGAAGAAAGCCCTGCTTCCTTCGCCGTAGACTAGGGGCATGTTGATGTCGAATATGCCCAGGAGACAGTACGCCGTGTCCTCTGGCCGAGTGGTCTCCCGTCGCGAGGCCCAGGACATCTTCATTGCAATGGAGTATTGATCCAGGTCTTTTTTGCCAGACAAGACATTGTAGGGAATCAGAGTGACCCTTGAGAGCTCCGCCGAGATATCCCCCTTGGAACACACTCTGTGCCAATTAGCGTCATAGAAGTCGATATTCCTAGGCGCAATCAGCTCTTGTAGCGTCCAACCCCGAGTCGTCCATCGACACTGCCAAAGAGCCTCCTCAAAGCCAAGCGCCTTCCACTCTGGAGAAAGATCCGAGAGATGGACAAAACAGATCGTGGCGTTCTGGTACCATCTGTACATGGAGTTGATGCTCTCTGTCAACTCCGCGCTGCTGCTCTTATCAATGCAGCAGGTATCGACCCAGGCGTACTCCAGCTTCTCGTGCCGGGCAAGCCGGCAGGTCTCGATGATCTTGCCATATCCTGGTTTGCTCGGCCGACTGGCTGCCATCATGTCTTGGTAGGTCATCTCCTCGCCATCCTCCCACGTGTGGGAGAGGATCGCATACTGTGGGATCTGTGACTCGTGGAATTCTTTGAACTGGAGAGTTTCAACGTTGATGAGCCTCATGTTGTATGCTCCTTAGTGATGGGCAAGAGCTGGTGTCAACTTGGCCCGTGGCGAAGCTGGGTGATCGGATGGATTGATCAGGTATGACGAGATGGCGAGGCTCTGGGCAAGACCAGGTAACTTCCGCTCAATGAGATTGGCGCGCGGTAAGGCAGCGAGATGCGGCCCGCCCATCGCCGCTTCCCATGCCCAAGATATGATTTCTTGTTACGAGCCTCGGGGAAAGCCATCGTCATCACACAAATTTCTTTTCGCGAAATGCTCTTAGAGGAATTGCTTGTCGAGGGCATGACAATGCAAGATAAAAATGCATTTGTAATTGGGTAATAGCGTAGACTCAACGAGCGGATACGCTTTCTCGGCCGGGGAGCTACAGTGGGGACGCGGGCCGCGTTTTAGGCCTGGAGCACGGTAAGGTCGGTGCCGAGTGAGCGGCCGAAGACAAACGTGGGGCTGGGTGCCGCCAAGATTGTTATACCAACCAGTATAAGGTAGCTACCAGACAGCACACGAAGGTCCTTCCATCTACAACATTTCTAGGCATTGCGAAAGGTACGCGCTCAGGCGACGAGAATTCGGAGACCTGCCAATAGTCGATAATGGCAAACACGGAAGTTGGCTTGTCCGCCTGTCCGAATGAAGTTTTGGAGCTGATCTGTGTCTTTTTGTGCAACCACTGCGCTGCCGAAGACCCAGACCCCAATAACAATGGCACTACAGACCTGAACAACTTGTGCCACGTCTCCAAGCGCCTTTACCGCATAGCACAGCCGATTCTCTTTCATAAGTTCCAGAGCTACACCGAAGCCAAGTCCCGGGTTACTCTCTTCTTGCGGTCCCTCATCGACCGGCCTGATCTGCGAGTATCAGTTTGTGAGGTCGGCCTATCTTTTGCTGGCTTGTTCAAGCGTCCACTAGTCGAGCAGTTGCGGCTAGTGATGGGCGACACGACTGAACAGATCTTTACTCACACTGCGATGATACCAGAGCAAGAGGTTTCTGAGAGGAGTGTCATTGGAATGGTCCTGAGTCTCACCCCCAATTTGGCCGCCCTCCGATCCTCAGCTGTGCCATTGCTAGCACCCCAGGCTCACTCCCATTACTCACCACTCCCGAAACTTCGCAAGCTTTACATCGCTTCCTCGTCAACCGATTGCAAGGATCTAGCCAAATTTCTTCACGAGGCCCCAAATATCGAGACGCTGATTACCTACGGCTTAAGCTGCTCAAAGTACTCGGACCATGACTATCATCTCATGCTCACCGAGCCAACCACACTGCAGGGCCTAGGGAACATACACCACTTGATCCTGACAAGTTGCTACGTGCACCCAACTGCCCTCGCTACCATCATCTCAAAGTGTGGGCCTCTGCAGATATTCTTCCTCAGTACCGCCCGCACTCCAGACCGTGAGTATGGTTATGACAGGCCGATACCTACCATCCCTCTCACGCCTTGGCGGGCCCTGCTTGAAAAGCGGGAAAGTCTACGTTCAATCACTATCGCAGGTGGCGTATATCCATTTGATATTTCACCTGAGGATGATCCCTGTTTCCTCCGATATTTCAAATGTTTAGAGGAGCTGGAAATGGACTCCCCGGCATCTAAGTCGCTTCTCGACCACTGGAAAGCCCATGGGATGTCCAATCAAGAGGGGTTTCTCGTACAGACCTTGCCCGACTCGATCAGGCAACTGACGATGGTGAATGCTCCCGCTGGAATGATCGATCCTGTCCGCGACCTTGCCTTAATGATGCAGGATGGCCGCTTCCCGAATTTCAAGCTTCTCAATTTGAAACCTCAATTCGGAGAGACTTGGCCACAAAAGTATGCCTGGATCAGATACTTCCCTGAACTGTGTACTTCGCTGCAGCAGGTTGGCGTGACTTTGAGGATGAATAGCATATTGATGTCATCAGAGCTTGGTAGATACCTATGGTAGTCTTCAAGCGATCTTGTCTGGGCTAAGAGCCGATACAAAGGGTAACTCGTGGTTCGTTTACTGGAGCAACATCTCGGTGATCTTACAAATCCTTCACAGGTGCATCACCCTCCTTCTTCCCTGTCCCGTACTGCCGCTTCTCCTCCTTTCCGGCATTCTTATCGGCCTCGAACGCGGCGACTTCAGAACTGTCCATGTTCTTTGCGACATTGTCAGCTTGCCACTTCTTGAAAGTCGCTCCCAAGCCCTCATTTGAGTAGTCTTTGTCATTCGCCTGATCCTTGTGATACTTTACACGAATGAAGTCCGAGTCAATAGACGCAGGGTCTAGCGACAGGCTGACCAGAGCGTTTATTACTGCGGTCTTCGGGATGATCTTGAATGTCCATTCCTGAATCTCGATTAGCGACGATCGGGACAAGTAGCACAAGCAGTATTACCTCTTCATGTCTGAATTGAATCAAGTCCCTATCGTTGGTCACGACCTGGTAGCCGTGGCTCTTTGCGCTCTTGAACAGCTTCGGCAGGGCAAACCACTGGCCGGCCATCTTATAGCGGTCATTTGCGTACACAAACTGGTCGTTGTAGACGCAGTCCGGGGTGTAGCGCTTGACGCGCTCGATCGTCGGCTTCATCTCGTAGAGGGCGATGATGTCGTCAATGAGGGCCTTGCGCGCCGGCGAAATCGGCAGCGACTTGCCCGGGTCCGGCGTGTAGTCCCCGGTCGGGTGAGTCTGCCGGACCTCGAAGTGCTCGCCCGGCAGGGAAGCATCAGTAGGGAAGTTAACCTTGCCAGAGTCGGCGGTCGACTGAGCTGTGGTGGAAGCCATTCTAGTGGTATTAAAAGTGTAGCACGACTGAGAGAGTCTCGAGCTTTTATTTGGTGAAGACACTCCTGTAGTTCTCAACGTTCTTGAGAATCGTAGAGTTTGGATCATCCTTCAATTGCCCGAGTAAGTACTAGACATTATAATGCGAAGCAAGACTGCTGCAGGTTATTTATTTCATTGCTAAGGCTTTGAGTATTCGCCGAGAACTACCCTCCTGAAAAAAGTTATGGTGACGTCGTCGCAGCGGCAGCCACGGCTACTTCCTATGGCAACTGGCATGATAATGGGCATATGGTTGGCCGACTCATCATTTGCTTGACGCTGGGACCCCGTGTTGGTAAGCGGTGGTGATTCATGATAGGAATATGTGCCACCTTGAAAGTCGCCGTGTCCATTGGATGGAGGAATGAGGTCTTAGCATCATTGATCAAGTAGGTGGTCTTAGTGTAATTACACCAAAAGGGGGGCCGCGGAACAAAAGCGCACGTCCTCCTTCAATCCACCGTCCGCGCACCCCACCCCCGGTCCGGACCTAGGTGTTCGGCCCCGGACTTTGGCAGTACAAAGCCTCCTCTCGTTCCTCGCCGCGTCCAGGGTCCTGCACGCACATAATAAGGGACCTTCTAGGATAAAGCCATCGAAAAAAGATGCTGGGCTCCAGATTGACCCTCAAAGAACCCCTATTCCCTGAAACTTTTGCATCTTAAACAACAGTCGGGAGCATGCGGGTCAACTTTCTACCTATTTTACTGGAACACTGAGGCTGTATGACCATTTAAATCACCAATGAACCTGATTTAGATCTCAATTTTGGGAGCATTTTTTTGTAGTCTTGAGGCCCGTTCGAGTTCATTGGGAATTTTATTGATCCAGGTTTCACCTTCGAGAACACAGAAACCATTGCCGATTCACTTACAGGCTATGGCTTCAATGCACATTTATTCGGCCCAACAGACTAATCAACACCTTAAAGAATAAAATGCGAAAGCGAAATCAAAATGGAAATCATAGAATATTCAACGACAACTTTGAGCTTGCAATTTGTCGAGGATAAGTTACCTGATATGTGGGCGGTCAGATCAGCCGGCTGTGTTCAAATGAGGAGAACTCCCGTCCACTTGATTTATCGCTTTGATTTGCTAGTGTAGCGAGTAGTATATAATGTCTTATCTTCGAACGCGAGCTTAGGAACAATTGTTGTGTAAATCACAAGTACATCCATTGCCTTGGAGTTAGTCCCGGACATATCGGGCTTATGGCTTCTTCCTAGTATTCCTTCATGGCCATATGTAGAATACCTCGCCTAATATCGAACCAGGATGATCATGATCTAGAGGAGTTTCGTCGTCACAAACAAAGTTGAAACCATTGGGATTTACGGATATCGGGATGACTGGATTCCTCATCACTGGTGCAAGCTCTGGTCTGGGCCTGCAACTTGCGCTTGCCGCTCTTCGCTGTGGCCATCAAGTAATAGGGGCGACACGAGATGCGAGCAGGGCTAAAGCTGCGACCGAAGAGTTTGAAAGGCTTGGAGGCAAATGGCTTGAGATTGACGTTTCGAATCCTTCTGCAGAATTTACTGTGAAGGAAATTGCCGAGAAAGAGAACGTGGATGTTTTAGTAAACAGCGCAGCTTATGCCCTGCTTGGTCCCGTGGAAGACATCAGGTTAGTGATTAACCCGGAGACACCTTGAAATAAGTATCTAAACTCTTATGTCTAGTGATAATGAGGCTCATGCGGAGATGGAAACCAATTTTCACGGAACTCTGCGCACAATCCGCGGGGTACTGCCGAGCTTCCGCACCCGAGGCTCTGGGACCATTGTCAACGTGACCAGCGGAGCCGGGTTCGTTGGCTTTGCGAGCCGAGGACTCTACGCCGGCAGCAAATTTGCTGTCGAAGGCATGTCGGAGGCGCTGGCAAATGAGCTTGAACCTTTCAACATCCGCGTCATAATTGCCGAGCCGGGTTCTTTCAAAACCAACTTCATCAATACCATTGTGCTCCCAGAAAGGGGGATCACCAAGGCATACGAGGGAACCCCAGCCGATACGATGATCAAAATGACACAAGATCTTGGTAACAGGAGGTTGGGTAACACACAAAGAGCGTCAGAGATATTGTTGGAAGTCATTCTTGGTACTGGTCTAGCTACTGATGATAAGATACGCCGTTGCTTGAGGGTGCCCCTTGGGGAAGACTGCCTCCAAAATGCTCGAAAGAAGTGGAGGAGTTGGGGGCTCGAGTTGGACATCATGGAACCCATCTCAAAAAGCGTCGGACTAGAGGCCGAGGACAATGCCCTTAATACTTGAGCGTCATTGGTCGATGGGCCAGGGGCATCTTGGTCCGCCTAGAATTGAGAGGATATACAATGCCTTAATCGACATGAGAATGACCGCGAACACACCAATTAACTATTAGAAAACAATACGAGACCATGGAAATGAATTTGCAAGAAATACAACCCCGAATGTAGAGTGGCAGCTACACGACATTGCTTTTCACAACATCGATCTACGTGCTGAGTTGCGTGGACTCGAACGTCTTTACAGGAACCACGTCAAATTTCAGGGAAGCCTCGTGTGTTTTGGTAAACTCACTCAATGTTTTAGGCAACTTGGAGGGTACTCAATTTTTTGAGAAGATTTGATTTAAATCAGCATTTAAATCAGTGAGCAGTACTTGACATAGAGGCCGACTTAAATTTCTCAGGCACAATATACCCAAAATACCACTCAATAACATCCAACCCCATCGTTCCAATCTGCTCCGCCAACTCCTTCTGCGCTTGTTCGACATGTGGTGCCATGATTCCTCCACTTTTCTATATGAATGCGGCGTTCGTGGCGACTATATGCTTTCCTGTGTCCTACATCCAGTCAGCAGGGGTAATCCACTGGTAAGTCCGCCATCGTGAGTATTGCGGTTGAGTTATTGTGTGGCACAATAGTCCGGAGCAAATCAACGAGCCCTCGCACTTCTACTACCTCGGGTTGTGTAGAGCTACACAGGAACATCGCATGGGTGTACGCAACGCGCCTTCCCGAGGTAGACCCGCGAGCCTGCACGGGCATTGGATGAAGCTGACTTGAAAATACCCAACATCCATGGTTTCTAGAAACCAAGCCACACGAAGTGGCACCAAGGCGACACCGAAGTGGGCCTTAGCTGCTCGTATTGCCAGATAGTACAATCTTGAGCGGTTGATGTGGCCGCAACGCAGGTCCCAGCGGATTCTCAGGCTTCATCAGCAGAAATGAAATTCTTGGCTAAAGCAGCGGCAGAGAGGTTGAGAATCCAGTGGGACGGGCTTGTATTGCCATGACTTACACTCTCAAGAAGGATCGGCGAGGTCCCGTTGATTTTGGGTTGCGATGTCTGGATGTAGAAAATTCTGGACTTACCGAAGTGGTGATCATGTTGCCAGGCTAGCCTAGGCTCAAATTGAACAAACACTGCTTGTATAAAACAACAATGTGGTGTCAGAATGGTGGTGGAATGGTTGACAGGGGAGATGGAGGGTGGAAGAGTGGAAGAAGGGAAGAGTGGAAGGAGGGAAGGAGGGAAGGAGGGAAGGAGGGAAGATGGGGAGAAAGATTTGCTGTTGAATTTACTCACAGAATGTCGCTTTGAAAGACGAAATGGTTTGTGACGGCGCGGCAGAACTCGTGGATCTCTGAGTAAAGGTGGTCGACACCTCGCTTGCCACCCCTTGATAGTTGCGGCAACAAAGAGTAGCTGGGATATGAGGGGCAGTAGGATATCACGAGTATGGGTTGTCAGAAGAAGAAAGAGCAGGTCGAATTATCTCGGTTAGATACGAAAGGTGGCACTTCTGAGTGGAAAACCTGCCTTTAAGGTGAGGTTGCATGGCCGGTGTCTGCAACGAGACGTGGAGGTGATGAGCGAGCTGCACCCATGGGTGGAGCTGGGAGAAAGGGGCTTGATACGGAAAAGACAGAAGAAGGGAAAGATAAGATGCATGTGCTGTAGGGATCTGATCCAAATGGGATGTGGGTGGTCTGTGCAATTAGAAGACGACTGAAAGCATGTGTGATGGCAGTTGTAATGAGTAAGATAAGGAGTAGGGCGAGTATTGGGAGTTAAATAAAAAAAGGTTGGAAAGTAAACATCTGGCCATCGAAGGAACGAGGAGATGAGAAGAATCGAACCTGGGAAGCGGGTACTGGGAGGAAGGGCAGAAGGACAGGGCGAAGTAAAGATCAGTTGACAAGGCTGAAGGCGCGAAAAGGTGGTGTTCCAAGGTTGGAAAAGCAAGAAATGACAGACGTGGATGGTCCAACACCAATGAAGAGCGACGGAAAAGGAAGGGTTAAGAAGGCAGGTAGGAGAGAAGGGGAAACCCAGCCTGAGATGGTTGAGCTTGGAGAAGGTGAAGATCGCAGGTGATCACGTGGAAGAAGGTAGCTGAGTCTTGGCTTGTTAAGGCCACAAGGAAAACGCGCCTGCTCCAGATATTGGAGGAAGCCTGTGTAGCAGGGAAGGATTGTAGATAGTTCTGCAGGCAGCAGAGGCGAAAGAAATAGAAATGATCATACTTGTGTCATGAAAGCTGGTGACAGTCAACCAATGGAGAGAACCGATCGTGGGCTGGGTGCTGCTGAGTGAGGCGAGTAGAATAAGGGGATCTCTTGGAACGTGGAATGTTTTTCAGCATCGCAAAAGCATAGCCTAAGATGTTTGGCTCAAGATTCTGAGATCAGGTAAAGGCCGCCGGGCAAACTTCCCAGTGCATGTATGAGAGAAGAAGAAATAACCCAAGTGAAGGATTGTTGGGGAAGGCAGGGGTTATCTCCGTGGATGAAGGATATGGGATTATTAAACTTATTAAAGTTACAAGGAGCTTAGTATAATCTAGACTCTTTGAATACTGTAATTTCTGAAGGAGTTTATTCTTTTGGAGGAGGAAATGTGGTGAAATAAGTACCACGTGGCGTTCGTAATATCAAAAGAAAAAGGCAGGTGCGTCAGGATAGAGTGAGTCAGTGGGCAAGAGCAATTTCACTGGTCGATCGACGCGACCCAAGTTGGGCAAGTGTCCTGGACTTCGGATGACAGACTGATCACAGCGCGTTAGTTGCTATGAGACGCGTAAAGTAGTGAATAACATTATGACGAGGTTGCCCGTTGCGCCATCAGGCGGTCGTATCTTAAAACACTTTGACACAGCACTTCGGCCCCTATTGCACAATCTTCAGGACTTGTATACTCTTCGGGGTTATGGCTGATGCCCTTCCTGCTCGGTACGAAGATCATGGACGTTGGACACCAACGGCTGGTGTAAACACTGTCGTGTCCAGCCCCACTGGTCATGTCTTGGTACAATGAAGAGTTCCCTAGAACCGACTCAGCTGATGCACGAACAGCATCAATACAATCTTTGTGAAAGAGCACAGCAGGAGACACCGAATCAGTCGTCCAAGTCACAGACAACGGTGGTGAGGAGGGATAGGCTGCCCCATTGCCGTCGACATCCTGGCCCTGGGCTAAAGCCTCAAAATCCTTTTTCAGCGCAGCCTCAACACTCTCTACTGTTGCATCCGCCGGTGCTCGTACATCCAAGCTGAACTGAACGTTACCAGGAATAGTATTTACACTCCCCGGAGACAAGGTCAAGATGCCAGTAGAAGCCAACGCAGAGTGCTTCGTTGCAATGCGATACGAATGAGTTATGAGCCGAGCAGCAAGTAAAAGGGCATCTGCTCGTCCAGAGAATGGTGTTGTGCCCGTGTGTGCCGCTGTGATAGAGTCAGCTGCATGAAGCATTCATGAGACGTGGTGAATAGCCCATACCCCGGCCTTCAACATCAATCGTGTACCACTTGTATGCTTGTACGCCTTGAACCACGCCGATTTTCTGCTTCTCATTCTCCAGAATGGGTCCTTGTTCTATATGAAGCTCAAAATGAGCGCTCATTGGTGTCGACTTGTATGAGGCCGGCATGGTTCCAAGATAGCCAATACGCTCCAACTCCGACTTCATCGTTGCTGTGCCACCACCCACCTCCTGGAGATTGTGAGCTCGATCGAGGGGAATATCCTCCGCCCAGACACCAGAAGAGACCATACTAATAGGGAACCTCGCGCCCTCCTCACTATGGCCAATGATCAGTACGGTTCAGTCAAATGCGTATAGCGCGATGCCCGAACCTGATTAAGTACTTACTTTGTCCAATTGACTACTCCGATAGGATATTCGGTCTCAACCCAATGATCCTGAAGAAGCTTTAGCATCTCAACCCCTGACAAGACACCTAAGATCCCATCATATCGTCCAGCAGCCGGCTGAGTATCGAGATGCGACCCAGCAAAGATTGGAGGGACGTCAGTTCGTCGACCAGGCCGCACGGCAAACATGTTTCCCATGGCATCGACTTTCACCGTGCAGCCAAGAGCCTTCGTTGTCTCGGCAAACCAGTCTCTTGCTTGCCAGTCAGAGTCTGTTAATGACAGACGTGACATCCCTGTCTCAGTCGGCGCACTGTATCATTATTAGCGAATGATCTGCTGCTACGCTTCCAGAACTAGGGAGTTGAGCTGCCTACCTTCCCCATCTCATTCCAGTTCCAAATCCACAAGTGTAATGAAGCGTTTCCATCAATCTACTTTGATCTACTTTGATAGACTTCAAATCTTCATCTGTCATGGTCGATGTATGAATGAGTGATCTAGAGATGGTGGAGCCCCTTAACATTGGAGCTACCGTGGCGTTCTTCGCCAATCTCTTCCACCCATTGCTGCATTTTGGCGATATAATCCGGAACGATGTTGCTAACATTGTATATAAGAAAAATCCGAACTTGGACTGTATATGAAAGAACGAGATGAGTTACAGACACTTGAACACGGCTTGCGAAGAACTTAAGTTGAAGAAGCATCTGGTGCTAGCATGTCGGCGAACCCCGCATCATAGAGCACAATCTTATCAGCACTCCACCACTCTTAACGGTGATGTCCAATCACAAAGAGGATTTTGGCATTTGTTGTCTCCTGATTCTCATATGATGGACTTGATGCTCCAAGATCATTAGATTGATCGGGAGTTGGGATTGCCGCTCAGGACTTAGTGCAAGTGATTGACTTAACTTAACTCTGGTGAGTGTCTGGTAAGTTATCACGGGGCTATTCAAAAGCAAGCAGTGTATTTTGGTCAGAAATGGGTGGATTCATGTACAATCATCTCGGTCCAGCCCATATTGAGATACCAGCCTGAGGCATGTCAAAAGATCTTGGTAGCCGGGCTTGACCAGTTCAACATGCACACCACAGTACCGGCACAGCTGAACATTGTTAGGAACAATTCTGTCATGATCCAGATCCCTAACTCTCCCAGAACAGATCTCAACTCGCTTTTGGACAGCTTTGAGCGTCATATGACGGGTATGGCCAAGGACAAACATTAAGAACCCCCATATGCCAGCCTTGAGGTTAGTCGGAGGCAGAAGAGCTGGAATCTGATACGGCGGATCTGATAAGGAGGCACATGCTTTAAACACCAAATATGAGGATTTACAGCGGAACTGTAGCGAGTTCAGAAACTTAGAGATCATTGATGGAAAAGATGAACGCCAGTAAGGACCAGATCCAAGATCGGAATGACGATGCTCTAGTACGGTATTCCTCGTGGCCTATAACAATGGACTCTTATTAGTATGATACTCATCTGATTTACTAGTATTGGGTGTCCTATTAAATCTCAGCGTTGCGTCTGAGTATAGTTCACCAAGTGTTTATTGTATGTGCTTATTACCAAATCGTGAAGTACGATGTAGGTACACCAGGTTCGTCCCTATAGGAAGTAAGTAAGCTGTGAGATTATCACTGGCTCTCGATTTTCATAGATATGTCTGTTGAGTCGTGTTTATTCGGGTAATTAACGGTGCAGGTGGCGGCTCATTCGCAATCGCGATGACGTGATTCGTCCCGCAGATAACAACATCGCGACATCCCGAATGGCGACCACGCATCACCAAATTCGTACACAAAGCCGACAGCCGTGATGGTGGGCAAGAATCTTATCTTGAGCCATCCAAGATCAACTTGCGTGCTCATGGATAGACCCAGAGGGCTTCCAGGTGGACGGGTGCCGCGCCCGATCTGGCCTCCGAAATTGATCTGATTGGAAAGGAACGGCGCACGCAATCGGCCCAAGATTAATGTCATTGCGACCCCGCATGTACGTACGGCTGTCGGTACTGGTATAAAGGCATTGAAAAGAAGCAATCATGCCTCAGGGGCGGCCGTAACGTCCAGACAATTAAAATCCAAAGATATTGGAACATGGCTCCTTCCGCAGTTGAGACTATCACCGTCCCGGTGTCCGAGGCACCGGTGCTGAAGTTGCACTCTACCCAGAGCGGCACGGGTGACTACAAGGAACTATCTACACGAGGCTTTGACAAGGAATCGGAAGCAGGCAAGAAGGGATGGCAAGCTGCTAAGGTAAGACCATGTCCTTGTCATTGATGTGCTACACGAGCCTAACAAGAGTGGAATAGTATCCGAACTATTTGCCGACATGGAACCCGAACCAGAAATACGCCCCTCTACAGCCGTTCGAGCACTACGAGCACGGCAAGGATGCCGACACATCGTACCCTGACCTTCTGCCCGCGGAATCAAAGGTCACTGATCTCACACCCACCATCGGAAGTGAGGTACGCGGTGTCCAGCTAAGCAAGTTGACAAAGGAGGGCAAGGACCAGCTAGCCCGTTATGTGGCCGAGCGCAAGGTCGTCGCTTTCCGTGAGCAGGACTTCGCCGATCTCAACATCCAGGACGCGCTCGACTTCGGAGGTTACTTTGGCCGTCACCACATCCATCCAACCTCTGGCTCTCCTGAAGGCCACCCTGAGATCCATCTCGTTCATCGTGCTGCCGGTGACAAGTCAGCCGATGAGTTCTTTGCCAGCCGTACTAGCTCGGTTGCATGGCACTCTGATGTAAGCTACGAGCAACAGCCTCCGGGAACCACTTTCCTATACATCCTGGACAAGCCGGAGACCGGCGGCGATACCTTGTTTGTCAACGCCGCGGAGGCATATAACAGGCTCAGCCCCCTGTTCCAGGAGCGACTTCACGGACTCAAGGCGGTCCACTCTGGAATCGAGCAGGTCAACGCATCGGTGGCCAAGGGTAGCATCAAGCGCCGAGAGCCGGTTTTCAATGCTCACCCAATTGTCCGCACTCATCCCGCGACAGGGGAGAAGGCCCTGTACATCAACCCGCAGTGTAAGCATATGCTCCAAGGATTTCTAGTGATGACGAGAACATACCGACTGACAATGAATCTAGTCACCCGTGAAATTGTTGGCTTGAAGAAGGAGGAGTCCGATGCCCTCCTGAAGTTCCTGTATGACCATTTGGCATTCGGTGCCGACTTCCAGGCCAGAGTGAAGTGGGAGGAGGGTACTGTGGTCGTTTGGGACAACCGAGTAACTCAGCACTCTGCCCTCATCGACTGGAAGAGCGGGCAGAGGCGACATCTAGCAAGAATTACTCCTCAAGCCGAACGTCCGTACGAGACGCCGTTCAAGGCTTAGAACTTGTATATAGACTTCTGCATAGCAAACAAGCCTTGTAAATGTGGGGTAGTTATATGAATCGAAGCGCAGAATCAAAGCTTCAATCTCGCTTCTCCTGCTTTATCGTGACATCAACAAGCGATAGTCGCCCCCGCCCCCCAAGTCGTTCTCGTCGTTCTTTGATGTCCCTCAAGAACAATCCATCGTCAGGATTGTCGGACTCGGGTTGATTAGGAGATTGAGGACTAGGATCGCGATTCAAACGGTTCGCTTTCTGAAGTTCGTGGTTTAGTGAACCGCCTCCTCTTTGATCGTGCGGATTGCGATTAGGGATGGTGGCGCTGGATGAAGTCGGGACGGTTTGATGATGGTAGACTGGCCCATCTAGATCTTGGCTATCGTCGCTCGTCTCGGAGTCGACCTTCATCTGCCTCTGTGAGGGGTTTGAGTGAGGTTTGGTCTCTGAAAGCGCATCGATGAACCGCCTGCTTCCTTTTGAAGGGCTGTTACCCTGATAACCAGCCGCAGCCCTCGTCGCATACAGCGCTGATGTCACAGAGGTCAAGAGCAGGGACTTCTTCCTAGGGCTATCTAAAAGACCTTGGAGAGATGTGCCTGCCCAAGGTCTACGATCATCATCGTCGGACTGCGGCTCATCTACGTTAGAGCGAGCGCGCTTCAAGCCTCTACGCTGCTTCGCAAGCCTAGCAACGGCATCTTGTCGTCTCTTAACCGAGCTTGTCATTACTCCCGTAACTGGGCGCGAGATAGAGTTGATGGTGTCTGCGTTCTGCTCCTTGGCGAGGCTCTTCAGTCGGTGATACTCAGCGGCGTGCAAGTGGACAGTGAAGGTATTGGCCACGGAGAGAAACTCGTCCTCCACCATTCTCCAGCGATCATCATTCTCAGCACCTTCGACCATGAAGCTAATATGTTACGTGAGCGATTTTGCAACAGTCAAACAAATTGTCCAATATACCTTTCTACAGGTGGTTCAGGTGGTGGGGAAGTCGAGGGTGAGCGTTCTTTCCTTTGATTAGCATGGAAATCATTGGCGCAGAGAGGTGAGGCAGTACCTCGCTTTGTAGAAAGGCTGAGGCGAGCAACACTCTTTGTTTTCGAAGCTGAGGCGACCTGGGCTCCCAAAGGGGTGCCCTTCGGCGTACCGCTCCTTGAAGCGATGGGGGTCCGAGCTGGGGAATCGGCCCGGAGAACATCAGCGCGCGGACGGGCGCCGCCGTCCTTCTTCCACGGCAAGCTGCGGGTCATACTCGGGCTCGGAGATACCTGCAGGGAGGTTAGGGCGACATTACGACGAGATCAAGTCCTCACAGCTGTGAAGTCATCACGATCATCGAGTGATAGGGTCTGCTCGCCACTCAATACACACAGGTGGTGGAGAAGGAGGGACGGGTGGACGACGCGGTGCCACGTGAAGAGGATGGGGGGCAATTGGCGGGGGAGCTTTGACCCTCTTCGTCCAAGCACGTCCTTCACCTTCAAAGTCCTACATTACCGTAGCAATATGATTGACTCTTGAAATTGTAATTAACCAGATATATCAAAGGCTCCGGTCTATTCAGTGCATGGAAGCCATATTGCTTGCAGTGGCCTCATCAGGTATTGGTATCTCAGCTGAACTGCCGTGTATTTACTGTACTGGCAAAGTGGCGGGCATCACTCTTTGGCAATCTGAGGAACAAAGAAACAACTTTGACAGATGCTACAAAACCTGGCGCAGAGATTGGATCTTCTCCCGCCACATCTGAAATGAAACCGTCTTTACAACCTTTGGTTGGAGGTCAATTTGATATACAATCTGAGAGATACTCAAATAAACACTCTATGATGAGAAGTCACTGCTTCCAGCTTTGCGGGGCACTGCAATCAAGCTTGATAAGGTGGGCTCCGCAACAGAGATACCACAGATAAGACTCGCGATAATGTCTGATACTGCAGCACAGAATGATAATAAACAATAAAGAAGTGTACATCAAATCGAAACTCCACGACGCCATGAGTGAACCTCCAATGGCCGGCGGCTTGATCCCCTGGGCGCCGCCGGCGAGCGCATTCAAGGTGCCTACGGGCCGGCTCCACCCAGGTCTTGCCGGCTGAGACTTTTATCTCGTAACAAGACTGCACCTGGATGGACGGCTGCCATTTCCTTTACGTTTTTGACAGGTCTGAAGGCCAGGTATTACGCGACGACAACTTCCCGCCAGGCCGATCTTGAATAACGTCACATTCTCATTATTAACCAATCGTTACTATTCATATCAAGGTGTGTCTGTGTCAGCTCATGTAGAGCTCCTCATCGGGGTGCATTGACAATTGCACAGCAACCCCCGCCAATCCGTAATGAGCGCTTCATGGGTATCACAACGCTAAGATTATATAAACGACATTTCCCCGCTCAGACTCTTCAGAAAGGTGCTTTTTGGTCAATCGTGGGAGCGAGAAATGCTCTTGCTGTCCACAATATCGCGTGGCATGCACCCAACAGTCGACGAGAATGGCCGACCGAACCGAGATAGCCTCCTCGTTGTCTTTGCGTGTACACTTTATACAAGAAGCTGCTGGACGTCGTCTTATCATGACTTCTTAGGGGGTTGTCGATAATTGACTCCTCAAATTTGAGCGCTAGTATTCGGGCACATGCAATTTCAGATGCCGCGTTCTGTCGAGTGTCGGCCCCAGCAGATCTGCTGAAACGCCGTAGAGCCATAGCGGCACGATATAATGTGGAGCAGCAAGTCCATATAGTCTTCTGCCAGATGCTTCTAGAAATCATGGCTGCTGGGTGCCTGAGAAGAAGAGATCCTGAGCTCCGATGTTTGCGAAGAACGAATGAGAGGCAGCAGCATCCAGGTCCAAGAGGCCAAAATCCGGTGTATTTGGAAGAAGAGAGAAGTGATCGTGGGGTGTAACTTCGAGACTGGATTCGATGCCTACAGTGCCGAGCTGGGGAACACTCGACATTATATCCGGAGCTGGCTGATGGGATTCCGTCTTGTTGGGTCGATCGAGGCGGCGGCCGACAGGCGATTGGCTCATGTCGAGATCCTGCAAGCTTTCTTCCATTTCCCGCAAGGCTGTCGTGACGAAGCCGACTCCTTTCGCGCGGACTTTCAGGCTCCACCGGAAGTCGTCCAATTTCTGCCGGTAGAACTCGGCCTCCTCATCAGTGGAGCTAGTCGCCCAAAGCAAACCTCCATATGTGCGGATGTATGCAAGTGACTTTGGTGAGGCAAACCACCAGAATCCCTGAAGATGCTCTGGCCGAAGGGCCTCCAAGAAGTTCATTGCATGCTCCAGCCTAGCCTTTCCCGCTTCTCGGCAAACGTCTCGAAGATGTTGCGGCGTATTTGGTGTAAGATTCCGTACGATGAATCGATATACCATGATCTCTGTTACGAAGTATGAGAGATGGAGGTAGCCATTGGAACAGAGCTTCCTGATCTTGATATCCTCCATGCGCAGTCCTAGAGGCATCTCACTCGCCCACTCCTTCAACTTGACAATTATTGGCTTTACAAGCTCCAGGAGCCCTTGAATTCCGCTTCGAGCGAATATCTCCTCGTTCCAGGTTTGATCAGGACCGTAAAGCGTCTCGAGGGCTTCAGCCATAATCTCGGTAAGTCGTGTTAAATGTATGAAGAGCAGGCGGCCCTTCTCTACTTCTGTGCTTCCTTCTTTCTCATCTTGGTCTGCCCCGGACTCCGGGAAATCATCTAAAGAGACTCGGGGCATTCGCCAGTTTGAATGCAGTACATGGGAGGGGCGGCCATGGATCAGAGCTCCCCACTTGTCTTGCATTATAATTGCCCATGCAAGCCTCCTTCGCAGTCCTTTCTCCCAATCGGGTATGTTCCACGTCGAGCAATCAACATGGAGTCCTAGCTCCTCGCCAACGGCAACTATTTGGCTGGTCAAAACCCAAGAGTCACCACCAGATCGCTGGAGGAGAAGGAGTCCCGCCTGAATGGTTGACAGTTTTGGCCGGTGAATCACGGCCGTCAACGCCTTTGTCGCTGCTTTTACCAATGTGTCTCCGTCTGGTTTGTCTTTCGTCGACAAGTCGTGATCATATTCCCACCAATCCATTGCCAGGAGGTAAACTGCAGCGAGCAAAGGCGGCGAAAACTCCTTATAGCTTCGTGCATACTTCTCGAGAAACACACCCTTGTGCAAGACCGGATAACTAGGATGAACGGTACGAAAATACAAATCAACCAGTCCGGGACCATGGGGTCGCACTATCTGCTCTATTGCCTCGAGGTCTTCCTCATCCTCGCCACTGAAAAGAGTCTGGCTATCTGGTCGAGATAGAAAAGTAGTCTGGTCCCCTACTCTTCGAAATTTGGAGCCGTTATCCCTGCTTCCTTTATTCTGGGACATGTGTATGAGATCGAGTAGCACTCCTTCGTGTAATGAACCTGGTCCAATGTACTTGAAATGCGTCGTTCGGTGAAGGCCGAGGGTACGGTCAAGGAGTGATTTGCCATTGGACATTCCGCCTAGCTGGACAGCAGAGTCTTCCCTCGATGATGTCTGTCTTGGCTTCTTTCTTGATTGACTGTTGTGTTGAAGAGATTAGCTCTTAGCTTGTGATATGGTGCCTGGATTATGTTTCGGCAAGAACACTCACGGCTCTTCAACCACAGGAGGGTCACTTCGAGGCATGGTATCGTTGTCGACACCATCGAGGCCCCTCTTCTTCCTCCTTTGTGGCTCATCTAAATAAGTGCAGTCGCGCTGGTGAAAGGAGCAGAGAACGCATTTGTCTTGATTCGGTTCCTTGACACATCTCGACTTTCGCTTTCGACAGGTATCGCAAGGTCGGTCTGCTCGAGAAGGCTTCCGCGCCTGGGATTGAAGAGTCGTCTCGGGACTGGAGTGACTCGTCTCTGAGGCATTGTCCATATTGAGGAGCTCTAGCGGCTTCTAGGCCTCACATAGTGTGCATTTACCGCCAATCTTGTCTGTCTAGCGAGGCGCTTTCTTCTCAGAGGAGCCCCTCGTGATGTTTGTTGAAGACCGATCGCATCTTGCCGAGAAAGCCTTATCTGATAAGCAAAAGCACGGACCACTGGCTGCACGACCTTATTGCTAATGAAATCGTGTGACCTGAAATGCATGCATAAATCCCTGCATAACATTGTACGGCAGATTCATGTTAGAGATCAATGTTGCACTTGTTCTTGAGTGCTAATTTTTAATTCCTTTGAGCTCATCAATCATTCAATTTCTAGGAATCATACTATTATCGGTGCTTTTACTTCTCGCCGTGGTAGCTGAAATTGCATTTGTGCTCAAGAGCTGAGCGGTTGCCAGTTCGATCTGATAACATCCACAATGACACCGTGATCCAGGTGCTGCTTCAACCCGCTAACTACAACAACCGCAACAACACCCTCGACTCCCTTGATGCGTATCGGGACACCTCCGCCATGAATTGCATACTCTCTGGCCTTTTCTGGGCTCAGGCCGTATTTGGCAGCGAAAGCCTCTTCGTCCGCATCAAACTTGCAATGCAAGAACCAGGTGCTGCAGCCCCATCTGAGGACACTGTTACGCTTCCGGCGGACCCAGACCTCATTGTCGGGGGGCATGCCTGACCCGTTAACACACTGGAAAAGAACATGACTGTTGTTCGCCAGCGCGATTGATATCACAGTCGGCGTCTGGGGTGCCAATGGCAGCAATCTCTGTCGAAGCAGGTTGCCCAAAACCCATGCATCGTCGACTGTGAAGGAGTCGACGATGAATGAGTCGCACTCAGCCTTTACGGCATCGGCCTGGATGACGGTTAGCCATCCCTTCTTGGGGACAAGCGCGTATTTGACAACCTACGTCTTCCGGTGGGTTATAGATAGGCGCGTCCTCCGACGGCACTTGTGCGCTTGCACGACGGGTCCAAACCTGCTGGCTCATCTTCGCTTAGGATCTGGGGAAATGCAGCTGTTCGATGACAACCAATACAACAGTGAAAGTTTAACACAACTCTTCAGTATCTCGGTATATAAGCAGCAGAAAAATGAAACCGCTCTCGACCCACTTACGAATGAAGCCGGAGTTCGGCCGTCCAGCAGCCAAGTGCTCTTGTGGGGTTTCCTGACGTAGGTCATGCCGCCCTTACCCGTGGGTCCAATTAGCTTTAATCAACCTCCGTTAATAAAAAGGGCCGCCAAGTCTACCTATGATGAAAATGAGTGCTGTTAGGCTATTCAAATCTCTTATAATATGTCGGAGCTGAGTGATCGCTCGTGTTCCAGCAAGCTGCCTGCTGAGTTATACTTTACAATAATCACAATTGAGTTTCACTTGGAACAGGGGATAACTGTCGATCGTCAATAGGTTCCGCTATTGCACTTTGATCTAATCAAGTAACCTCCAGGTGAAAAGAAATCATCTCTTGCGTTGTTCCGCAAGAATTATCATAGTAAGACATAGTTCCTGAAGGCTAAGCTCCATGGGTGATTCTTGCACTATCACCGAAGCTTTGTATTTACTGATAACCTGCCTAATGAACAAGACGGTTCAACTCAGAGATAGCTAAACCTCTGTATGCATTCGTTTCTAAACTTTATTTGATGGCAGAAACGATACATTATCCTTCGATTTACTTGGAGGCTCGAAATGCAAGTGTAACTCCTATGCGATAAAGTTAATGACGTTAGAAAGTCGATGGGTTATAGCGATATCATTCCTAACGAGCCAGAAATGAGTTCATTGATCTTTCACATGCCATGATTTATCTACAAGCAACTACGTGACTGTGCTTTGAGAGTTTCATAATTGAAGTTTACCAAAAGTGCAACAGCTGGATGTTCAGAACTCGGCGATTGCTGTCTGGCTTACTTTTCAGTGTGACAAGAAACTGCACGAGTAGTGGCATAGAGCTAATATTCTCCTATCCAATTCTTCAATTTACAAACCTCACGTCGAGGTATTCTTTGAACACTAATAGTTGACTTCGCACGAATCGCATGATGACACAGCCATGCCAGGCATAGAGCTTTTCTATGAGTGCATGGCCAATAAACAACCAAAGCTGCCTCCCTCCATTCTTAGTAGAGAGTAAAAGATTAATATCAAAATGTATGGGAAACTACTGAATTCTACTACCGGATGCTAGGACTGAATCTTCTGACCCCGAAAATTTTCAATTACATAAAGTCGGCACTCTCGCCGTCCATTCCTCCCAAGCCAAAGAGTGGTGAAACTCCCTTGTATACAATCGCAAAACTTGTAGGCCAGTAAAATGCATGCAATATATCCACTGGCAACCTTTGACGTCTAGTAAATCCAAGTGCATGTAAAGAAGTCAGAATGTACTCAGTATAATAACCGGGCGATCCTAGCCTGGGGCGGCCAGTTTTGCCAACGCCTCTCACGCGCCCTGGTTATCATATACTATAGAAGGAGCTCTAATATACTCAAAGACTTCATGAATAGACATTTTGCTGTTGTATAATTTTGCTCGCGATGTCGTGCTCTGTGAACAGCTTTCACTTACGGTCACTGTCATAATAGTGGTTCACATTGAGACAAGAAGCCAGCCAATCAATTCTTGAACACGACGTTTCGGTGGAACAAATTCCGCCTTTGCGTAGCGAATATCTACCACGCCCCCGCTGCTTACTACACTTTAAACATGGCTAACGAACCATTTGATGATTGAGAGGAGCTCCAGGATGGATGGAGGTACGGTACCCAGACACCCCCACCCCCCTTTTCCCCAGCGCCACGTTCTGGTTTCCAGTTCAGGCTTGGCGCGCTGGTCACCAAAACGAGCGCCTAAAAAGCCACTGATAACGACTGAACGCGCCATTGGACAATGCTTGGCGACCCCATGTATGCGAGATAACACAAAAGAGAGGGAGAAATCACCGAGTTACCTGAGCTTGCCAGCGCCAAGACTGACGAGCTCCAGCACCGTCGGTGTACCTCCTGAAGATGGGAGGGAGCCCAGGTGGTGCCATTCTGGGACTGATGGCCGCCTAAGGAGCGCATGCAATGACAGCCATACGGATCATATTACCCCTCTCAAGGGTCTTGAGGTCTGCTTTTAGTATACTACACCACCGAGAGTTCACTGTGTTGGTACGAATGTCGATTCCTTTAGCAATAGAGCAGTGAAAGCTTCAACTTTGCGGACCAAGCGGTGCTTATTCAAATAGAACCAAATTCGAGAGAGAGCAATGCCGAAGACACGGGAGTTGAGACCCACAAATGATCGAAGCTAGGAGTGCCAAGCTTTTGCCAATGTCCGCTTCCCCAGAGCCAAGCACCTTGGCAAATGTATGGCTTGAACACAACGGCGCGTGTAGGGCTGGACATGGGGGAAGGTTCTGACAACAACCACGCCGTACTAAGCATGCAAATAAGTATCATGGCATTGCCATATTAGGTGCTCAAGATTCAACGTCAAAGAGATTCACATAACACAAACTGCCCGTCCCTACAGCACTGTACAATGGGACCACCGGATTGATGCTCATTGGCTTGCATGTTTCAGCTCCTTTTGACATTTTAAATAGGGCGACACACTCGTCTAGGGCGGCACAGGCATGGTGCTTCGAGACCGAAGAAGAAAGCGATTGAAAGCCTTCGGAGTGAGCCGACTGTCGCCAATGAGGAGCGACACACACTGAGACTGCTCTCTGATGACACGCTTTAATTACAGGCCATATCGTTCGATATCAGCCGCGGCATTGCCGAGTCACCCATCACAGTCAAATGGAAGTGCCCCGATGCGACAAGTTTTGTGCCTTGCATGAGTCCGTACCAACCCTGGGCGCTGCGTCTTACACATTCCTCATTGATCAAGCCAGTCTCCAGTCAAATGCTGGCGATGCTGATTCGACTCATCGCTGAGTAGACTTGAAGGAACAGTGCCACAGATCGACACCGCAAGGTGTCTCCTCACAAGTAATCACCCAGACCCCTCCGATAAAGCTATCGTAGCTCGTCATTGCCCCTCTTGTCATCCCTGCGCTATCGACAACGTGAACAGCTCTAATCGCCGCACTGGGATTGGCTGTCGTCTCAATCGATATTATTCACCTTGCCATGTCTCCAACTGAACGGCAAGATAAGCAGAACGTGTTTGGGTTGGTGGCGTCAATGTGGGGATTCGGGCGCAATTACTCTTAGGAGACATGTCAAGCGTCTCTTGGCACATCCTTTGTCGAGGTTCGTCTTGTGTCCCTCATCTCAGTCCTCGTCATAGATTTGGACGCCTGGCTTCAACGAGAACATATCATATCGAGCTTTGGCGATCGTATAACATCTGTTGCCGACATGTTGCGTACGTTCCCATCTCCGAAATTATCTTTCGATTCCTTAGGGTGATATCTTCCATGATGAAGGACGGGGTATAGGTGTGCCCCTGCCAATCCAGACATTCAGGCCTTGAAGCTAGCTTCTCAGACTAAACATCTGATTGTCTCTCTTGCCAACCCTGCATGAGCCTTGCTTCCGTACTTCGTGTGTCTACCTGTCTCCGCAAATCCGCCACATCCCCTTTCATAGCTGTGATTGACTGTCGAAGCGAATGACTTCCCAGGTTCCATCCACACCTTCTGCGGATTCTCGTCACCAAACTCCATCCAGCCCATCCCGCCCCTCCGTACCAAAGAAAACTCATAAGTCTATCTGCATGAAGCAACCCGCGCAATCCCTGCCCAGCAGCATTGCTCATCTATCAGTCTCTCTTCGCACCTCCACACGTTCCCAGCTTATCCTGGTCGACTAGGATCAGTAGCTACCCCTGCTGTCTCTGAAGAAATGTTTTGCTTTTAAAAAGCTGGCCCCCGTCCCCAATTCTTGGGGATGCTCTAGCTCTTTGCTCCTTTTCTTGCCTCACGCCTCTGCCTCTGATTCTATCTTTCAGCGATCCATTCGACGGTCGCTGGCACGTCAGGCGTGGTAGCAAGGCAATTGATCCATTTTCCAACATTGTCGTAGCTTATCTTGTCACGGCGGCACTGAATCTTCGCCGGGGTAGTTAAGCCTTAACAAAAATGTCTGACAATTCAACAACGCCCGTCTGGTGGGTACCAGATCCGGCATCAGGAGTCGGCAGCGGTAAGTTGACATGCTCATCCTCGGTGCTCGCGGTCGAGTCTTTGATTGGCAGTGATGCGCACCTCATCATGTAAGCTCCTTGAGATATATGTGCACCATTCCTGGTGTTCCTCTCAGGGAGCTCTAGCTGGAAAGTCACCGGCACGCACCATTTTCAGGCCTGTGCTGATATTCACTCATTAGGTGACAATGCCTGGCAGCTCACAGCAGCGTCTCTCGTCGCCCTTCAGTCCGTCCCAGGACTGACTGTGCTCTATGCTGGTATTATGAAGAAGAAATGGGCTATAAATAGCGCATTTATGGCTTTCTATGCCTTCGCTGCGGTGCTCATTTGCTGGGTGCTGTGGGCTTATAAGGCGTCATTCGGCGAGGAGATGCTGCCCTTCGTTGGCACTCCTAACAACGTACTCGGAATTGACACGATGCTGGCCCAATCCTATCTTCCATCGATCGGTATCGGCCAACAATTTCCCTTGGCGACCATGATATACTTCCAATTCGTCTTTGCCGCAATCACATTGGTCATTATGGCTGGCGCATTCCTGGGACGTATGAACTTCTATGCTTGGATGATTTTTGTGCCCCTCTGGCTGACTCTGTCTTACACCGTCGGTGCCTACTCGCTCTGGGGCGGCGGCTTCCTCTTCAAGCTCGGAGTTATCGACTACTCGGGCGGATATGTCATCCACTTGTCCTCAGGCACCGCTGGCTTCATAGGCTCATACTGGATTGGCCCTCGTCTCGCCAAAGACCGTGAAGATGCCCGGCCGAACAACATTCTCACCGTTATGATTGGTGCTGGCATTCTTTGGATTGGCTGGAATGGCTTCAACGGTGGTGATCCGTATGCTGCCAGCGCAGATGCTGGCGTGGCTGTTTTGAACACCAACTTGTGCACTGCTGTCTCTCTGCTGACCTGGACCGTATGTGACCTCATCTACTTCAAGAAGCCATCCGTCATCGGCGCTGTTCAGGGAATGATCACCGGACTCGTTGCCATCACCCCTGCTGCGGGTGTTGTTGCTGGTTGGGGAGCTATCCTTCTTGGCCTAGGATCTGGTGCCGTTCCGTGGGTCACGATGAATATCATTGCCAAGAGGTTTCCTGGGTTCGAGCGCAATTTTGATGATACCCTAGGTGTAATGCACACCCACATGGTTGCCGGCTTTGTTGGTGGCTTTGGCACTGGTTTGTGGGCAACCGTTGACGGCTGCGCCGCGTTCGGCTTGAGCAATCCTGGCGGTGCGGTGGCAGGCAACGGTATTCAACTGGGATACCAGATGGCCGGGGCTTGCTTTGTCATTGGATGGAATTTAGTTTGGACCTCGCTGATTATGGTCTTCATCAAATATGTGCTGCGGATCCCGCTCCGCATGAGCGAGGAAGAGTTGCTGCTTGGAGACGATGCTGTCCATGGCGAAGCTGCATATGTATTCGGACCTTGCGAAGCCCATGACCCCGAATCAGGTTACATCCAGGGAGAGATGCTTCGAGCCGCCACAACCAACGAACGTAGTGGTGAGCTCGGCCTTGGCGGAGCTCTTCCGGGGACGCGTGAGCACGCAGAGAAGATGGCACCCAAGAATGGAGAGTCGAGCACAGCTTAGCCAGAATCATCCTGACCAACCCCCATCCTACAACATCTGCCCAGACGATTCCACTGCACTGTGGACAAGTCACTGTGGCCATATCTTTCTTTAGTCACTAGTTTGCTAATTGCGAAGAGGATCTCGAAGCAGGAATACCCAGCATAGCAGGTTTTAATGAAGTTGGTGTTAATGAAAATCGCATACTATAACAGTGTCCCTTTTCGCTTGTAAACAGCTCATTTCATGCATACACAACGGATCGCTCGATGAAGCTTGCTAAGGCGGGGGCCGATACGTTGATGCAATCAAAATCTGTAGCATTTTGGAAGACTGCACTTCTCGGGCCGTAGAAATCGCTTTGTACTCCTCCGCCAGGATAATAAACGTCAGCTCGGCAGTGGTGTCACTACCTCCTCAACAAGGAATTGCTAACTTTATAGAAGTCGATAGACCTCTAGTAATCAACAGAACATTCAAGAACTTGATTAGTATAACAACTCTCAAGATTGAGCATCTCCACCCTTCAACAACTAACATTTATTACCCTGGAGGAGGAGTAGTCATGTTTTCAAAAGATCAACAGGCATTGACGGTGGCTACGTGGGTAGACTTAAATAATGGGAATGCCACAACAACCCCGCGCCCCTGTATGTGTGCCGCGCTAGACCTCAGAACATTGGTTGAGATGTTACGTAAATTTGTACGTAAGAGACAAGGGCCATACAAGCACGAAACATAGTAAGAGTGATCATAGGACCTTATTGGGCCATGTCGAGCATCAGGGGCTGCTCATCGAGCGAGACCGTGAATGAGCACGGAATCACCTTGCCACTGTTCAGAGTAGTTATGATCTATTAAATCATGGAGCTTATCATGCTACAGCTGATCAATAATGGGAGCCGATATCGAAGTTCCTATTTAGAAAGTCGAGATCGGTATCCAACATAAATTCATTGAGATCAATTTCCATGGGCACCTGTCTTGGTGCTATACCAGGGTTGGGGATCATTGACTGCTGGAACTGTCGAGAACCAGGTATGGTCAGAGGCGCATTGCTGGGCATCATGCCAGGATTGATTTGCTGGTGATGGTGAAGGCTCGTAAGCTGGTCTGTGAAAGCTGTCATGAACATTGGCGTTAGCACAAAGGCTGCTTCAGGACCAGTTTGATGACGAAAAAGTAAATAAAGGATAATGGAAGTTACTCTGGGACTCACAAGAATCGATTGGCAAAAGGGTCAGCTGTGATAGATAATCGACACATCGTTCAACAACACGGTTGCCTTGATCAAGATTTCTCAGGGCCTCAATAGCCATGTTGAAATAAGGCATAGCCTTTTCCACAAATTCCCAGCGCGAAAGTCGCTTCGGGTCACTTTGTACATCGTATCGTGCTACATGTATTGCGGCAAAGATAACAAGTCCCGCGTTGAAGGCTGAATTTGTTTGGTGAGCAAGCCTGTCAATAACCAAGGTAAGGACTGAAGACGACATGTAAACTTACTGTAGAAAAGAGAATAGTTCCATGCTCCTAGAAGGTCTCGCCGCCATCCACTAGAAAGCACAATTGTGTGCACGATGGAGATAATAATGACAGCAGAGCTGATGCATGTTTCGACGCTGCCCATACCGAGTTGTAGAACCTTTCCCTTGTCACTAGGTTTGGCTTTTGAAGGAGCAGGCCGTCCGCATCCTTCGAGAAGCTTTTCAAGAATTGGCCTATGAAGCAGAATCTGCAGGTTATGATACCTGGCAGAGAGGACAAACACGAATCTTTCCGTAATTTTGTCCTCGGGGCCCATATTCTCCAAATCTTCAGGGCATAGATTGGTGTCCTGAACACGCATCTGCAAAGAAGGTAGTGAAGATTTCCATTCTTCTAGCTCTTCTTCAACCGTCAGAACCATGGAGATGATTTCTGAATCTGTTCGGTATTCTTCGAGACCTAGATTTTGCCCATAGCATGTGTCGACGATTCTGTACATCAAGTCGTACAGTTTTCTGCCATTAGTTAATTCAGCTCTCACAATCAATTGCATACTCCGAACAGACACCTACATAGTTGCAGTGTAGAACATTGCATCCATCTGGGGACCGGGGTTTGGTTGTGCGGTCTGTCCAACAACCTGAATGTCTTCGATTGGCAAATCGAGTTTAAGATAGCTCTCGTGAATCATGGATGGCCGACCAAACGTCATACTAAGAGTTCTTTGAAGACTACATGTCAGCTAAGGTCAGAGCCTAAGGGGTGAATTTATAAATTGGGTCGCGTTACCGGTCTAGAAGAATACATCCAAACCAAACACGTTTCCGAATCTCACATTCTAGAGGTGGAAAGCCTTTATTCGTCTTCGGAGAATGAAGGCCGAGCTGGAGAGCAGTTGTCAAAGCCAGTCCATGGACTGTCCATGCTTGAACTGATTTCTGTGTGCCTTGTAAATACTGTCCTAAGATGAGCAAGTATTGAACTGTGGGAAGTATTAGCTGGGCCTTATTGCAAATGCTATGAAGTTGCGGTTGGTAGTGTGTGATCCATAAAACATACGTAGTTCGAGACTGATGTTCCGTCTTGACTCCTTGTCGCAAAGGCCATTCGCCCGTTGGTAATACACATCAGATTCCTCTATTCGCTTCTCTGCCGAAACAGACGCTTCAACATGCAAAGTCGTCGCCATGGCGAGTATGATATTGAGAAGGCCAAGCCAGGTCCTCCGAGCCATGGTGAAATTACTCTTTTTCATCTCGAAGTACGTCGCGCAGAACGACTCTTCGTGAACAAAGGGCAGGAGTTGGCCGGTTTTCTGGAAGTATTCTCTGATCAAACTCCATGTGCGGCCTTCAGACGGAAGGGTATATATGTTCACGACCCCGTGTAGGCGATCGAACACATCTACCGGGTGAGGTCGTGAGACGCTCATCCCCCCTGCCACCTCATTTGCACGATTTGATGGAGATGGAAGAGTTTGGGCAAAATCTCCTACCCGAGCCATCGCTAGAGATATGTGGCGTAAAAATGCGATGTTTGACGAGGGGCCTAGCTATGGTCAGTTTTGGTTCGCTCTTCCGGACCAAGGACACATTGACTTCTACTTACCGAAATAACCCCAGTCCTCCTCGTCTGTGAACTTAATAGCACCCATCCCATCGATTGAATTCTCAGCAGTGTCCAACTCTCCGATGCCTCCATTGTTTTGGTACATGAGCGGAGCAGATGGCCTTGAGCCATTGCTCTGTTTCATCGTAGAGTCATGCTGGCTGTCAGTGGTTTCATCGTGGACGGGTGTAGGTATATCAAGTCGTGGAGACGCTTGGGAATCTTGGACCCGTTCCAAAGTAGCCTCAATGTCGCTGAGACGTCTTTCTAGTCGATCGAGATAACTAACATGGTGTCAGATGCCCTGTTTCTGTCAATATTGCTGCGGCAATGGCACCATACGTTCTTCCAACAGTCAAGGTGGTTGTCGTCCCCGCTTGTTCATACATGCAATCACACCCGAGCTCACTGCACAATGAACATTTCGGGCGCCCTCCATCACACTATTGTCAAAGTACACGTTAAAATCGAGATCGATAGTGAGGTTAGAATTGTACACACGCGTGATTTTCGGTGTCGGCAATTGCTACATGCCAATGCAACCCTCCGCCTCTTGTTCGGTGGATTCATTTGTGTCGAATCCCGTCCCTGAAAAGCAGATGCCGGCTCCGTATCTGGTTCCGGGCTACGTCCCCGGTTGGCATTGCCGATCTGTACCGGCATGATGCATCTGTAGGGTTACAGCGATCTCCGGATGCGTTCGGGAAGAGACGTAAAGGGGCATACAAGATGGAACGGGTATCATCGGAAATTTGGCGGCACATCTACAGCTTTTTCGGGGAATGTCAGGGACATTTATTTCCTTTCTCCAGTGCATTTCCCCAGCTTGCGAATCTCGACCACCGATCTACAGCAGAGCGGGGGAACCCACCAGCTAGCTGGTGCCCAAATCCACTACTCACCTTGGCGTCGGAGATCGGGTATCATGAGACCTGTTGAGTTCCCGTCGACCGTCGGGCGTCGGTCCGATGAAATTGACTAGCCAACAGTAATTCTCTATAGTCTCTCCAATCATTGTCTTCCCGCAACAGAACCTAGCGAAACAGACTTGTATTTGAGGTGGATCCAGGACTAAAACGGGATACCAAGACGAGGCATCTATTCACATCTTCGGCAGAAAATTCCCATAAACCCAAGGCATTGCGAAACATAATGAGCTGGGGGAGCATGGTCTTACCCC